GTTCAAATATTTTTGGACTAAACTGACAAAATTTCTTTGAAACCTAAGACTAAAAAAAAGAAACAAACAACCATAATGTTAAAACGGAGCCACCGCTTTTTCATAGTTTCTTTGTACTCTTTTTTTTTGGTTTGTTTAGTTTGTTAAGATAATAATAGATCGAATCAAAACCAAATATCAATGGTTCGTGGTATTCTTCACTTCGATTCCAAATCGGTATTTGCGTTGTCGTTTATTTTTCTTTCTCGTGGTGGTGGTCGCGACAAAATCTACATCGGTAACGACAATTCACAAGATGATATATTCACTGTTTGTTGGAGCGAATCGATGTTATCGGTTCCAATAGTTGAGTTTTCCGGTGTTGGTTCCACTGAGTAACCATTTTGTCTCTCAATGGTAGAGCATCCGTCCGGCGACGTCGTTACAATCTGCCGGTTTCCGGAAGAATTTGTATATGATTGAAGAATGGGCATAACAATGGTTTGATATGTGATGTATATCGTTGTATCAAGTTACTTGTAGGTGTTCGGATGATACAAAAATGAAGGTTTCACTTCATAATATCTCTTCTTCTTTGTATTCATCATTTGTCTATACTTCTTAACCACGTGGACGAATATCCAGAAACGCCACCGAAAAAAGTAGATCCGTTTGATATATATCCTCATTGTCGAAACACCACTAAAGCCCATCGAGAGAAACTCCACTTCTCCGACGAACTTAACTGCCATCACAAACGTAGAAAAAACTAGAATGTCCATGATGATTAAGATATGCTAATTACCAATCAACAAACGTGTTAGCGGAGGACGTTCTGTTGTTTTATTAGATTTTGAGAAATTAGATTATTTTTTTTTTTTTATATATGATCATTATTTGTACCTAGTTTTTACATTTCAAATTACATGTGAAATTCGAAATTGGATTGAGAATCTAAATTGGTCGATAAAGTAAGAACGAAAAGCATGAAATTGATTAAACAAATAAAGTACTGCAAATTGCAAAAGCTTGATGACGGGACATTTACGAAGAATCTATGCTGAATACAAAACTGAAGAATCTTGATTTTGTTTAATTTAATATTACAACAATCGCATTGAAAGCAAAATGTCGTATTTAATTTGTGGAAACGTCCATCTTGGAAGGTTGTCTCTTCAATCAACAAAATTATTAATTCATTTGGTCATAACTCATTACAAATGATTTTTTTTACTTTGACAACTTACAAATGGTATTAAAGTTTGTTTTTCACTACACTCCATAGCTGCCCTCTCAAACTCAATCAGATTACCACCGTAGGCTACCTTGAGAAACATACCTTTAAAGACAAGTATCAACAATCTTTTTCTAGCAATCTCAATAGAAAATTTGGCACTTTCCAGTTTTGCATAAACGTGAACTTGACAAGGAGGAAACACTCTAATACCACCTAGAACCGTCTAACACTGTTTAATAAMAAAAAAAAAAAACACATGATTCCAATGGTTATAAAGTAATTACTATGGTCTGTAGTCGCGTCTCCTTTTGTTTTTCAAACTAGAGTGGACAAAAATTTTATTCCGTTTTATTTTGAAAAGAACCTGTTTATTTTCTGGACTTGGTTATTGATTTTAAGATGAGAAGAACATGCCGTTAATGTGGACAAAAATGTGTGT